ATACCGTTATTTTATTAATATAAGTTAGTAATTTTATGTAGTGCACAAATCCATTGTGCACAATATAGTTGATAAGTACGATTCAAAATAGAAAACATAATGAGTATAGGGGCAATAGCTTTTGCTCATTCTGAACTAGATTATTCACAAATGAGAGAATATTGCCTTATTAATACGTGATTAATATGAGTAACTTGCACAACCCACACCTCCATATATAGCAGACAACGTGATAGATAAATGTCACTCAAAAAGTTCTATTGTGTATGTAGGGATAAGATAGTTTACCACTAATGAGAAGTGATTAGGCAGATGACAACTAAAGCATAGGTTGGATCGATGCTGCTTGGTGCCTTTAATTAGAGGTTTCGGTGCAAATTAACCCAAATGTGTCCACATCCTAAAGATTCTTTTTTTTCAGTGTGCACACCTAACAAAAAACCTGCCCTCTACTACATCGATAGGGACTTCCATTACCAATGCCAAAGTCCCAAATTTATGTCACTTATTGTGGACGCAACTAATTAAAAATAGGTCAACAATCTCATGCTTTTCTTCTTTTAGTCTCTTTTTTCCATTAAAAGTCATCCCTCTTAAGCAACCGCCCCAACCCATCGATCGGATTGATTTACACTTTTATTTTATTTAACTAGCTTAAACTATGTACTCTCTCTCCGTAATTCATGTATCTATAGTACCTTTTGATTAATTTATCTAGTCAAAATACACAAGATAATTACCCTTCTTATTCGACATTAATCTTCCAAATTACCTTCATAGTTTTTCGTTATAAACATGATGATATAGTCATGACGCACCAGTAGTCATTGTGCACGTCATGTGTGTTTATTCGTTATCTTCTTTTTTTAAGTAGAGACTATTCGTCATCTTCTTTTTTTTTTAAGTAGGGACTAGCTAACACATTTCATAACATGAGTAATGGATAGCTCGATTTAAGGGTTTGGGTGCTAAATTAATGGTGCAGAATATGAACGAAAATTCAGTTTAATTTAATTTAATTTGGTATTACTAATTAAATTATGAGACAGATGTTTAGAGGAAAAGAGATAGAAGAAGACTTGAAAAGATACTTTAAGAAAAGACATGAAGTACTTTCACCTAACAAAACACTTGGCGGAAAACCGAGCGCAATTACATTTTAGAATTCATACTACCAACCCGACTTAGTAAAATAAAACTTTGTTGTTGTTGTAGTAGTAGTTACTAATTAAGTTACTAATTAAGTTAATTATTTAGTTGCATGCATTATGCATGAAATGTCTAGAGTCATAATGTAATATTGCTCCTTTAGACAACACATCAAATTGCAAAAAAAAAAAAAAAAAAAAAAAAAAAAAAAAAAAAAAAAGAAAAAAAAAAGCTTGAAATTAACAAAGGGATCCAATGTCACTCTCAAGCATAGTAACTATGTTGCCCTTGAATTTTCCAAGTTTGACCAAATCTCACAAAGTTAATTGGATTGAATTGGTCTCTCTCTCATAATTTCAATTGGCTTATGATGTTTGCCAGCCACAAAAGTTTAATTTTGTTGACTATGTAAAAGTTCAAATGTGTTTGTAATTTTGCATCTTTCTTCCTTCACATAAAGTAGGCGGTGATATATATGTAACCTTTGCTCTTTTTTCCTTTCCCACATTTATATGGTTTATATATACAGTTATTCAAGATAAACACCTAATTAAGCTTAAACATGCAATAGATTTTGCACATTGCTTCAAGTAGTTCAAAGAGCTTTTTTTTTTCCTCTTTTTTTTTTTTTTGGAAAGCTGCAGCATATATTGATCACAGAAGGGCAAAACATAAACAATACAAAAGCCGTGAGAAAAGCGCACCAGCACACTTACAACCTATTATCCGCTAACAGAACATCTAAAAGGATATTAGGGGGCTCCTCAAACCAGACACAGTTCAAAGAGCATTCTAATTGATCTCTATCGTGGTGGGGTGCTTCTGTGCCCATCAAGGGGCAACTACCAACTCACCACTAATGCATGGAGCTGCTGCCGTTTAACTAATACTCTCGTATCTGCCAATAACCTCAACTTAAGTTGGTGTTAACTATGACAGGTTTATCCACGTGTATATACACGTTTTAGCCCAAATAATTCTTTATTTTGTTTCTTCAATATTTTAATCCTCTTTTATCTGTATTCAACATTTAAAAGTAAGTTCGTTCGAAAAATATTTCAAAGTAAGTGTTATTTTGTGCATTGCTACGATGTGGTTGACAAGTTGACAACAGTTTGGTTTTGAGGAAGACTAGCTGAGAGGTTTTTTTCTTTTTTTGGTTAGACATCTTGGATGTTATGTCTCCCAATGTAAATCTAGCTACCCACATATACACGTCAACAATAATGTATTGAATTATTGGTTCAAAAAACCGGTTTTAGCAAGCAATCCCTCATATGTACAAAAATCTTAAACTTCCCTAGTGCTTTTTTTTTTTTTTTTTTTAAAAGAAAAAAAAAAGAAGAAACGATAGTAAGATTTCATTGATCAACAAATACAATTAAGAGGTATAAGATTTCATTGATCAACAAATACAATTAAGAGGTATCAAATAGGTAAATTCTCTAGTGATCGATAGTTTGATCTGGAGATAATTTACACAGACATAAAAAGAGTAGAACCCCTAGATGACCACCATAAAAACAAAAACCACTGAGAACTACTGATATAAATTTGTCACAATAAAGGCAGACGCGCGGTAACTACAGGTCAAACAAGGAGGGTTAGCCGCAAATCTGACCAAAACGACGTTATCGCCACAGATCGGACCAAGTACGACGGCTCAGCCGTGGGAACCACCATGGAAACAAACTAGAAGGGTGGATCCGGTCCACCAACAACCCAACACGCCAAGGCAAAGGAGAACCTGTGCCTAGCTCCGAATTAAGGTGATAATACCTCGAAAAGGAGCAAAAACGCCATCCAAGCCAAAGGTTGGGTACCCCCAAATTTGGTGGAGAAGGGGAGGCGCTGGTATATGAAAATACAGAAGGATAGGCCAAGGGGGTGCAGGGAAAGAAGAAGGAGGGGCTGCACCGACCCCAAGATGGAACAAGGGGTCGGTGGCGAGGACGATGCTAGATCTAGGGTTTTTCGTGGAGGGGTCAGGGGTTTTAGGGACAGAGAGAGTCAGTAGCATGAGTTGGGTTTTTTAACTTGCTTAGTTCTTGTATACATACGGTCGAAAAACTTTGCCATTATACGAACATTGTTTTTCTTCTTACAGTTGATAGAGTTTAATGTGAATCCTATACCTCATTTTACTCTTTCTACTTTTTTTTTTTTTTTTTTAAACCAAAGTTAATTCCATTCTAGCTATGCTATCAGAAGAAGTGACAATAAGGTAAGAAGGAAAATAAAATCTATCAATGGGGACATAAAACCTAATCCTGATCATGATAATAGTCATAATGAACAAAACCTTCAATAACCAATACAAGATATAACAAGGCAAATAAAAGATAACCTATCTAAAGTGATAGTGTGGAAATCTTACACAATCACCAAGATGATACGAACAAAGTAAAGCAAGAGGAGAATCTCACCAAACAAGACCAGTGAAAAGGAAACCGAATAATTATTACGTTTGAGGAGACCGAATAATTATTAATATAAAATTTTTAGGTCTTACTAAATATTCTCTTGACTACAAATATTTACGTGTTAGGTTTTAATTGGTTTTTCATACTATATACGTACATCGATGACAAGATCTATCACTGTTGTATAGAAGACTATACACGTGTGTCCAGCTAACATGATAACCGTATATATGGCCCCATACCAGTTACGTACGCACCTGAATGTTTATATAAATAAACATTTTCAGTGGACGGTAGTTGGGAAAAAAAAAATAAAGAAAAAAAAGCTCTCAATTCTCAAACGATTCTTAAATCATAGAAAGTGTGGTTTAATTTGCTAAATTAATCAAGAAAATTGCATTGACGAGAGAGATCAAAAGCACAGTGACGACATAAGAATTTCCAGAAAACACAGACCAAAAAAATGAAGGAAAAAAAAAAGGATTAGCAGAAAATAAATATGAATTATATTATTGCTTTGAGGACGATGAGGAGAGAGAGACGACAAGAGTCACAGAAAGGCAGAGGATACAGAATTCAGGGCTGACGTGGGTTTCCCATCAGCAGAGACAAGCACGTGATTTTAACGCTGAGTGGGGTCTGCCACGTGCCCCCATTGGTGCCGACTAGACTACGGTCAAATACCGGTGCCACTTGTGCCACGTGTTGCCTAATATTCCAAACACGAACTTTGAACAATTGACCACACATGTAAATTATCCAAACGAGGCATTTCAAATTAACCTTGTACAATTATTGGTGTTACAAACATTTACCCTACTTCTTTTTCCTTTTTACTTGGAGATATTTATAGTGAGCAACAAAATTACATTGTTGGATTTTATTTTATTTGTTCTAATTACATTTCTAATAGTTTGATGAGAAAAGATTTACTGATTTTAATTTACTTCATTTTTTCGTCTTGAAATGTCAAAATTTAAGAAAATAACTAATTTGTATCTGGAAATTATGTTAGCTTTTTTTCCTTAAACTTTTATGCAAGGAGTATCCTCAAGGCATGTTTGGTCACATATATTAATAAAGTAAGATAGTAGTTTAGATGATATGAGATAAGTAAATGTTTTGTTTATAATGATCGTATTATACGATACCTTGAATTAAGAATTAATCAAACTAATTGATGTAATAAGTGTATGATCAATTAATGTTGTAAAGGAATATGCCTTCAATATTGTTACTTTGTTCGTATGAATAAACGGAGTAGCAAGGACTAAAAATGTTTCCATTTGAGGAGGCACTTTTTTGTCTTCTCAATTTTAAGGTGCTTTGTCAACCTCCATAAAAGTGATAGCTAACAAAGTCCATTCAAACTTAAAGGCTCTCTCTCTCTCTCTCTCTCTCTCTCCCCATTATTATATATATAATGATCAAATCATAATGTATTTTCCAAACCAAACCACATTTAGAGAGACAGATATTTCAAGTCTTGAATCAAAGAGTAGTAGTCCTCCAAACCAAAACCCTTCTTTCTTCTTTCTGTCTTTGTTGTTGTTCTTCTTCCATGTCTGATCAGGAACCGAAAGACCTTTACTACCATGACCTATTTCAGTATGAAGATCATGATGGTGGGATGGTCAGCATCAACAACCAGCCAAATTTGCAAGGGTTTGATGTGAATCCTTCATACATGAACTTAACAGAGTGTTTGAAAGGATCTATGGACTATAATTCACTTGCAACGGCTTTTGGCTTGTCATCTTCGACCTCTGAAGCACTATTTTCGTCTATTGAAGGCGATCAAAAGCCTGCTAATCATCTTGGATATTCAGGTGGTGGCGGAGGCGGTGATGTGGAAACTCCTTTGACGCCAAACTCTTCCATGTCGTCTTCTTCAGCTGAGGCTGGTGCTGATGAGGACTGTGGTAAGAATAAGAAAGATAGGCAGCCAAAAGGGTCATCAGAAGATGGAGGAGATAGCTCTAAGAAAGTGTAAGTTTGAATTGAATACATATAATATTGTCTAGGTTGCTTCAGTTAGTTAAGGGCAATCTTTCTTGCATTCGAGATCTTGAGTTCGAATCTCCCTTATCTCATATAGCTTGTATCAATTAAAAGAACAAGGATACTGTCTAAGTAATTAATGACATATTCATATACCTGATCTGATCATGTTTGATATATTTGATAACCAACAGGAGCAAACTAGCAAAGAAGAAGGGAGAGAAAAAGCAAAGAGAGCCACGATTTGCCTTCATGACCAAGAGTGAGGTTGATCATCTAGAAGATGGATACAGATGGAGAAAATATGGGCAGAAAGCTGTGAAAAATAGCCCATATCCAAGGTAATTAATTTGGATATATAATGTGTAATTTCTAGCTCATTTCTTTGTTTGCACTTGAAAGAAACCACCAAAAAAACCCCTTAAACAGGAAAAATAAGCAATATATTCGAAAGTTGACTAGTTTGTTTCATTCACGTGCTATAGTTTTCAGCGATTTAATTTATTTTTTAAATCTTACTCCATCAAATTATGCCAAAAAGTCCTGCATAAGACTTATTAATCAGTAAAACCAAAGGTTCACTAATTTTTTATAATATGATCCCAAAATTTAGTCCTATATATATTAAGTAATCTTAATCTCGCAAATTCTGAGTTACGGGTAATGAAGCTAAACTAAATCAAGAAAAAACCATTTGATTATTGCAAGATTAATTAATCCGCCAAATCTTAATTTGTTTGGTAGTAAAAATAAAAAATTTGTTGACAGAAAAAATCTAAGTTTGATTTTAGCACGACTCTCTAATTATATATGTACTGCGGTCGCCAATTGCAGAAGCTACTACCGGTGTACGACACAAAAATGCGGGGTCAAGAAACGCGTAGAGAGGTCGTACGAGGACCCATCCACTGTGATTACGACATACGAAGGTCAGCACAACCACCCACTTCCAGCAACCCTTAGAGGAAATGCGGCTGCAGCATTGTTCCCACCTTCTATGCTAAACCTAGCACCCGCCACGCGTACATTCTCAACCTTGGCTGGTGGTGGCCCGAGCTCTGCCTTTTCTCAGGAATTCTTGTTTCAAATGCCCCAATACATGATCAGTAACAATGCTAATCAGGGATCGTCACGAAACCCTAATTATCATCTGCAGCAGTATCAACTGCCTCATGGAGCTGCTGATCAGTATGGACTTTTGCAGGACTTGGTTCCTTCCATGTTCCTCAAACAAGAGCCTTGATGATCTCCCTCGCGATCGATCTCTAGCTCGTTAATTTGTAGATACGATTAATTATTTTATATAGTAGCTAGTCTCATGATCTTGATTGATCATCCTTGACATATATTTTTAATTAGTGAGCTAGCTAGGTTGCATATCTACGTACCCTTCACTTCTAATCATTTTAATTCCACTCATATTTGTGAGGCAGGAACTGCTGATAGCTTTGGCAATAGAGCACTTATTATCGGCAAAGAGAGTTTGACTCTTTCTCTAATCTCGCAGTGTAAGCTTTTAGGTCTTCCATTTTGGAGGTAATTTGCTAGCTCGAACTGCTACCATATATAGGAAATCAAATGGATTTGTAAGATGATGAGTTTATTTATGTATAGTGGTTCGCGAGAACGTTGTGCATGTGAATTGAGGATTGCATGCCTCATGTTTAATTGCTTGTATTATACAAGTGGTGCAACAGGTTTTTCTTATTTACGGATTAATGTAACGCAAGATCCTTGCCGTGACAGCCTTGCTTTCATGCAGCAGTGTTGGATTTTTACTTGTTTAATATATAATAATTTTCTTCTAGTTTCTGTGCATATTATAACTCGTTGAATAATTTGTTTGCAAATAGTACGCAATTGTTACAAATTCCTTCTCGTATTATGTAGGCTGCGGGTCTACTGTCTCCAAAATATAGGTATGTCTCATGTCCACATGATCATGCCGTTAAGACCCCTCTTCGACTTTCACTCAGATGTAAGAAGTAACTTTTTATTGATTGAAACAACTTTTACCAAACATATCCTTCATCACTTAGAATTCCTATCTTATACAGAAAGTAACTAACTCACCTAACTAAACGGCTACCCAAAACAGAATTTAGTTACAATTCCTATTGATATGATGCTGACACATGGCATCATATCAATACCCCCCCCCCCTAAAATGACCCTTTAATTGCAAGGCTTCAAAGATTTGTGGCAGCTGGAAATTTGGTCTTCAACACAGAATACACCTCCCAAGTCACATCATACTTTGAGTGATTTTTCCATTGAACTAGCACTTAAGTCACATCGGCATTTCCTGTTTTAACCATTCTCCTTTCCAAAATTGGAATAGGCACATCCTATAGAATTCCAGCTTCTGTAATTACTGGAAGTTGAATTGTAGGTTGTATTGTCGACAAAAAAAAATTGTAGGTTGTATTGCAGGACCCAAATGCTTCTTTAAGCAAGAAACATGAAAGACAAGGTGGAGTTTGGAGTTAGTAGGTAGCTTCAACTTATAAGCCACTGAACCAACCCTTGCTAATACCTCAAACGGACCATAAAACTTAGGTTGCAACTTGTTAAAAGGGTGAGACGCTAGAGACAAGTGTTTATAGGGTATTAATCGCAGATAAACCAAGTCACCAACATCAAAATCCCTATCGGTTCGGTGTTTATGAGCTTGAATCTTCATTCTATTCTGAGCTGCCTCGAAATGGGCCTTGAGTAATGATAAAACTCGATTCCTCTCCTGCAAACTTCTGTCCACCATCTCCAACTTAGTAGTACCAGCTTCTTAAAGTGGAACTGCAGGAGGAGCTTGGATATACCACTTCATAAGGCATCATATTAGTGGCAGTGTGATGGTTGGTATTGTAACTCCATTCGGCCCATGGTAGCCAAAATGCCCATCTTATAGGTTGAAGACTGCAAAAATAGCGCAGGTAGGTCTACAAACATCTATTCAGCACCTCTGTTTATCCATCCGTTTGAGGATGATAACTAGAGCTATAACACAAGAATGACCTTTGCAATTTGAAAAATTCTTTCAAAGTCCACTCAGGAAAGCAGGGTCTCTATCACAAATTATAGATGTAGGCATGCCATGTAATTTGAAGATGTTCTCAACAAAAAAGATTAGTCACAGAAGACGCAGTGTAAGGATGAGCCAATGCTACAAAATGTGCATATTTTGATAGCATATTCACTACAACCCAAGTCACCGTTTTACCTTTGCAAGGTGGTAGAGCAATGATAAAATCCATAGAGATGTCAGACCAAATCTGAGATAGAATTGGCAGAGGTTTAAGCAACCCAGCTGGTGAAAGAGTTTCATATTTGTGTTGTTGACACACTGCACAACTAGCCACCATATCTTTAATATCTTTCTTCATACCTTCCTAGTAGAATGTTTTAGAAAGCCTCTTGTAGGTTTTGAGGAAACCTGTATGGCCTGCCACTAGACTGCTATGATGTTCGTTAAATATCTTTTGTCTCCATTGGCTGTGAGGACTAAGAACAATCCTATTCTTATACTTTAGGAACCCATTGTCCACATGAAACCTCAAGTTGCCAATAGGAGCAGAATCAGTCATATTGCTTAAAACTTGTTTAGTTTTAGCAATAATCCATTCATCAGATTCTACATGTCGTCTAATATCATCCATCCAACTCATGTATGGATAAGAGATGGCCATGAACTTAGTGTGCTCTAAGCAATCTTGATTGTGCAAAAATAATTTAGAACATTCTGCAGAAGATAAAGGTAATCTGGAAAGTGCATCTACAACTTGGTTGTCACAACCTTGCTTGTATTGAATTTCATAGTCAAAACCCAACAATTTTGATACCCATTTCTGTTGAAAATGTGTATGAGCTCTACTTTGTAGGAAATATTTGAGGCTGTGATGATCCGTTTTGATTATAAAATGCCTCCCAACCAAGCAAGATTGCTATTTCTTGATGGCATGAACTATCGTCATCATCTCTCTTTCATAAGCTGATAGAGATTGGTTCCTCGGACTCAATGCCTTACTAGTAAACGCAATAGGTCATCCATTTTTTTGCAAATGAGCTATGATTCCATGGCCTGAAGCATCGTTTTCAATGATAAAGGTTTGCCTAAAGTCAGGTAATGCTAAAACCAGAGGCGATAACATAGCTTCCTAGAGTTATTGGAAAGCTGTAATAGCTTATTCAATCCATTTGAAGCTAGCCTTCTTAGTCAAGGCAGTTAAGGGACCTACTATCTTACCAAAATTAGGAATGAACTTCCTATAATATCCCGTAAGACCCAAAAATCCTCTCAAAGCTTTAACTAAAATTGGAATTGGACATTGGGTAATAGCTTCTAGTTTTGAAAGATCGGTAGTAACACCTTTCTTAGAGACCACATGTCTTAAATACTATATGGTTCTCTGGCCAAAAGCACATTTAGACTTTTTTACATACAAAGTATTAGCTTGTAAAATCCCAAATAACAATCTAAGATGCTCCAAATGTGAGTCCCAAGTCCTGCTGTATACTAGAATATCATCAAAGAAAACGAGGATAAACTTCCTGAGATAATGAATATTACCAAAAATTTCATTCATTAAGCTTTGAAACATTGCTGGTGCATTAGTAAGGCCAAATGGCATATTACCAAAAATTCATAATGGCCCTCATGTGTTCTGAACGCAGTATTTTCAATATCATCAGGATGCGTCCGAATTTGGTGATAACCCGATCTCAAATCCAACTTAGAGAAATAATGTGCACCACAAAGTTCGTCAAGTAGCTCACCTATGAGAGGAATGGGAAACTTATCCTTGATTGTGATCCAATTAAGGCCTCTATAATCTATACACATCCTCTAGGTTCTTTCTTTTTTATGAACAAGAATCACTGGTGAAGAATAAGGACTATTACTCACTCTGATAAACCTAGCTTCAAGTAATTCCTGCACACACTTCTCGATCTCAGTCTTCTGCAATGGACTATATCTACAAGGTCTGCTGCTTGATGGTTTATTGCCCTCTGCCAATGGAATTTTGTGGTCATGGATTCTGTGAGGAGGAAGACTGCTAGGAGTCAAGAATACTACATTGTATTCTTCTAATATTTTCTGAATGTCCTTCTTCTGTTCCTTAGTTAAATCTAAAGATTGTTGCTTTTCCACCATTTCAGGTTGAATGTGGTAAATAAATGCTCCCACCGTTGACTATTGTTGTAACAACTTCTCCATTTGTAAGGCAAAAATATCTTGTAAGTGGTATGTATGAGGTTCTAGGCTTGTAATACAGAAAGTCTTATTGTCTTTCATAAACTTCATATAAAGCTTATCGAAATCCCATAACACTGGACCAAGAGTTCTTAATCATTGCACTCCTAAAACAGCATTGCACCCTCCCAAAGGAATAACATACATATCTGTTATGCATTGATAGTCTTGAATTTTTAAGGAAACAGTACCAAGAGTACCTTGTGTAGTCACCTTAACCCCATTAGCTATTTTGACATTGAAGGAATTGTCCCCTTAAACGTTTAACTAAGGATGAATCAATGAAATTATGGGAACTTCCAGAATCAATGAGAATAACAATAGGACAATTATTGATTACCCAAAGACTTTCATGGTTTTAATTGAGCTTGGAGGTGGGGTACCAAATAACGCATAAGCAGTGATCTTTGGTTCGATATTTTCATCCTCAAATGCATCACAATCAACATAGGTTATATCATGAAGATCATCAATCAATAATAACTGTTTTTTCTCACAATAATGACCCCGGACATACTTTTCTTTACAATGAAAACATAGCCCATTTTTTCTACAGAATTCTACCTCTTCAGGGGTTAATTTCCTCATATTATTCACCTTCGGTTTTGATTCAAGAACGGTAGTGTTTGTGATATTCTGAAATGGATTTTGACGATTAAGTATTGAAGGTGCAGGGAGTTTAGATAAAGATTGCACCTTTAATTCTGATAACTTAGCATCTACCTATTGAGCATAAGCAGTAGCGTCCAATACGGTTGTTGGTTTTAGAATCTTGACATCATGTCGTAGTTATGGCTTCAATCCTCCAATGAAACAAGACTTAAGTAGAGGAAGGTTAATATCTCGAGTACGATTCACCAATCGACGAAATTCAAGAATATAATCCCTCAAAAGCTCAGTCTGCTGCAACTTCACCAAGATCTCTGCTAAATCCTCAAACTCTGAAGGTCCAAATTCCTGACAGAAAACCTTCGTGAAATCTTCCCATTTGGGGAAATTGGTAATGCAATTCGCCCATTGAAATCATTGCAGAGCTTCACCCTTCATGTGAAAATATGTCATTTTTACTTTCTTGGATTCTTCGATGTTGAAGAAGTCGAAATTGTGCTCAGCTTTATATATCCAACCCAAGGGATCATTATCGTCCCTAAATCAAGGAATATCCATCTTGATGAATGGTTGACGTGAATTTGGGGTCGCATTATGACGATGGAAATTGGGGCCTAAATTTGGGTTTTGATTCGTTGGAAGATTGGGATCTAATTGCGTTTCTTCCAACGATTCACCTGAAATTCTTGAACCATTTCCATTTCGAGCAAGCAAGGCCTGAAGCTGTTGAAGAAACACATCTTGGGTTGCTTTGAAATCGGTGTGCGTGGCCCTAAATTCGTTATGGAAATCCATCAATTTCGATTCCAAATCGGAAACATGAGACTCCATGGATTATACACTGAGAAAGGATTCGAGAGAATCGAAGTACTAGCTCGATACCAATGTTAAGACCCCTATTCGACTTTTACTCATATGTAAGAAGTAACTTTTTATTGACTGAAACA